GTTTTTGCCTGACTTCCTCTTTGTTGGGATGCATCGCTCCTGAGCTTGGAGGAGGTGATCCTTGACTATTACCCAGCTTTCTTGGAGCCCTCTTCCCTCCAGGGCTTTGTCCCATGGTACTCTACCAAGCAGATCCCTGAAGAGGCCAAAGTCTGCTCTCCCGAAGTCCAGGGTAGTGAGCTTGCTGTGCGCCCTCCTCGGTGCCCTAAGGACCTCCTTACTTCACCAAGAATTGAGAATTCTACCATTTCATGGTCGCTAAGCCCAAGACGGCCTCCGACCACCACATCTCCCACCAGTCCTTCTCTGTTTGTGAACAGCAGGTCGATCAAACACTTAAAAGTGTTTGAAGCTTCAGGTTAAGGTAACTTTTGTATTCTAAATAATTTGGCAATTTTTGAATCATTACTGTAATGCTGCTGTCCCAAAGCATTTAATTTAGTATTTAGTTTAGAGCTTGAGTTAGTTTAGTGTTTTAGGATGCTAGAAATATCCTCTTGGCTATTTTTGCTGCGACTTTCTTGGTGACATCACAGATTTCTCATTGCATTGATGGGATGTTTTCTTATTAACATGGAACACTAGATGCAGTACTGAATTTTCTTCTCTTTTTATGTACGTTTTTAAACACGTACCAACCATTTGTCTTTTGCAAGGACCATGGGAGGTAAATTTCTGGTAATGGTATTTCTGCTGGGACAGAGTATAATGCTGATAACCAAACCTTGCACAACTTTGTCTGGGAGATGCCATTGGTTTGCTGAGCAGCTCCAGTAACGATTGGGACAGGTCTCATGGAGTTTGATTCTGCCCCATTCTCCAGTAAAGAAGAATGTTTCGTTGACTACAATAGTAAAGCATCAAAGCCTTGAAGCTACTACTGAAGCTTTTGAGTTTGTAAATATATACACATGTAATCTCAAAATCACATGGATTTGGTAGGGCTAAACTCCTTATGCATAAAGTACAGTACATATATGAATCTGAAACCCAAATCCTGCTGGGAGTCTGTAATTAGTTGGTAATGGTTTTCCACACACTTTAGTAAAAGTGACAGACATAAGAATAACTAACTTTCAAAATAACAAAAATTATGATTAAAATATTTTTTTCAATAGTTCTCTAGTTGGAATGGAACATCTACAAATAGCTCAGGTACTTTCCTAGTCTAGTATTAGCATTTATGTGAAGGTCTGTGTGTTTTCATATAATACAATCTAATCATTCTTACATTCAGTTTATAATAAGGCAGTTACGGTTGTTACCTCCACTCTTAAGAAAATCTAATCTTGCATAACAGTCTTGTATACAGAAATGAGAAAAAACTAACTTTCCCCTTTTTTTCCTTCAGTTTTTCAGCCGTGGGCCAAATGTGCTGCATCAAGAGAGCAGTGCACCGCAAGCTGCCTTCTTTTTACCTCTTCAGAAAGTGATGTTGCCACCAAATACCTTTCAAGGGAAGGTGGCCTTTATAACTGGTGGAGGTACTGGGATTGGCAAAGGGATGACAACAACCTTGTCCAGTTTAGGTGCCAAGTGTGTTATAGCAAGCCGGTAAATATTAATGAAGACGTTTTAGAGCTTTCATTTAGTACTGCATGCTGAATGGATCTGTTTTCTTTTTCATAATGGATCTTGCTTTCTTCTTCATAAACTGGATAAATTTGTTTACTCTATTTCAGTACACTTTTAAATTATAATGTCATATTGTAAATACCAGAAACTTGCAGATCCATCTACAAATGACTAATGGTGTAACCAGCAGTAGGAAGAAATAAACTAAATGCATTTCCATGAAATGCAGGAGTAAAATAACGCAGAATATTAGACATAAATTCAACTAAAGCCTAAAAGAAAACCAAAAATTTAAATGGCCATTATTGAACATTTTGAATGTATTATTGCAGGTGTTCTTGATGCAGATTTGAACTGCAATAAAGAATTAAAGCCATTCTTCTTAATTCTAATGACTTTAAAAACAGCCCTGGTTTTCCCTTAATGAAGATGATCTTTCTACTTAAGTAGCACTTCAGTAAAGGCTAGAAAAACAATCTCATTTTTAATCAAAATAAACAAAAGCGTTGTGACATTCGTCCAAACAGTGGTTTAGATATTTAGTTTTAAATCTGAATATGCATGTCCCTTCTAAATACTAGTAGAGTAGTAGCTAAAACTAAGTTTGTTATGATTATGTACTCAGAATGAAAATATTTTTTCTAGCTTATCACATTTGATTAGCTTAAGATAGTCTCTTACTGTAGTCACTTCTGAGTTGCTTTGAAGTAGCACTAACCAGAAATTACTTAGATTTAAAGTTTTCTTTCAGAAAGTTAGTGACTAAACATAGTTTTATCTTAAACTTAAAGCTCTATTTTCATGAAAATCAGCAGCCCGCATGTGCGCACACACGTATTTTAAGTTTTAGCTCATATTTGCTCAGAAAAAATAATCAGATTTTATTAATCTGAATTTTAATTGCATTTAATTGAAATTTAGTGATGTTGTATACTTATTTCTAGGAAGCTTGATGTTTTGAAAGGAGCAGCAGAAGAAATTTCTTCTAAAACTGGGAATAAGGTAAATTTTTACAGAATTGTGAATATGTTAGTTATACTTTAAATGGTTATAGGATTTTTATGCATTTATGTGCTTCTGCGGGCTTGTTTAATTTATGAGTGATACAGTTTTGAAGTCTTACAGCTGCCTTTCCATTATTATATAGGTTCATGCCATCCAGTGTGATGTGAGAGATCCAGTTTCAGTTAAGAATGCTGTTGCTGAAATAATCCAAGTGGCAGGACATCCTGATGTAAGTGTTCTAGTGAAAGGAAAGAACTTCAGTCTTCATTACTGAAAATACTCTGCATAGTAGGTATGAAGAAAATGACTGTGATAGAAAGTTAATGGAGTCTAAAGAGACACCAGACAAAAAGTGGCGGTACTTCGAGATAAAGCTAGCATTCACAGTTAGACTGGTTACTCTATTCCTGTGGTTCTTAAAATACTTAGTGGCCAAATAGACAAAACGTCTTTGTCCTTACTCTTAAGGACTAACATTTTCTTTGTAAACAGTGGGACAATTATGATGGGATTCTTTGAATTAATTAAGTGAACAGAATATTGCCCTTAAATCCTCCTGAAAAGGTGACTTACCTGTGTTGGTACCGAATTACACCTGTTGCTTATTAACAGAATGTCTCACAAATTAGAAATTGAAGTAATGATAAACATCTTTGGTCCTTGCTTAGCTTATTAAAATACAGAAAGAAGGTTCCAACTTGAAAACTAAATTCTCATAAAATCAAGGAAAAAATCTTCAGTCAAGCTAAGCATCTGGTTTTTAATAGTTTGGCACAAAACACAGAGCTCTTTACATCAGACTGTTGCTCGAGAAGGGTGGTCTGGTGGAGTCTGAACAATGATAGGCACCAAATTCTGATTTGATCGTGAGAGAAACAACTTGGATTCTGCTGGCTGATAGAAAGTGTGGTGAGGATGTTAACATCGATGTAAAGGATAGTCAGTGAGATTTAAAACTTTACTGTAGATTTAAAACTGTCATATGTATATTGTAGACACTTTGAATTCACCAATAGCTTGGTATAGACATGGAAGAGAACCTACTGAATTCTAAATGTAGTAAGAAGTGGAGAAACTATTTCTCACAGCTGTATGCTATAACAGTGCTATAAAATAAGGCAGCTCACTGTCCTGATTTGTAGACAAGATACTCTGGATATTATTTTGACTACTAGTTACTGCAGTTTTTGGCCAAAGCACATCACGATCTCCAGGTTTTAAGTGTGTGCAGAGAGGGAGGAGACTTCTTCCTATATATTACTTTTTTAGTACACCAATAATTTTCTGAATAAATACTTCCCATGACTTGTTCTTTACAAGCATTTCCTTTCTCTTTAATTTCACACATTCTGTGTGTTTAAGAGAGACTGCAGAGTAAATTGAATATTCAGTTCTTTTTGTCTAGTTTTTCTCTTAGTGACAGACATGACACCTATGTTTACGAATACTGCAAGCCTGGGTATCATTGCCACTGTGCATGTGAGGTGAGATAGAAGATAGAAGTTAATGGCAGTATCGTATTCCTTCTAGCTTTGTTTTGTTCATTCCGTCCCCAAGACTGTTACTCCCAATTAGAAAGCAATCATTCTTTTGTCATACGGATTGTTTTGGCAGTCATAGTTATCTGAAGCCTTCAGAGAGAAGGGCTCCGAATCGGAGGATCGCGCCGGGGGACCCTTCCTGAGGCGGCAAAACCGCGGCAAAAC